ACCCACGGCGAACCACCCCGCTGCCTTGGCTCCGGACGCCACCACCGCCATTTTCACTGTCTTGCCCTTGGTGGCCTTCCAGTGAAGGGTTAGACTGGCAGGAGGGGAATGGAGGGAATGCATGGGAGCAAGTTGGGATGATGGGGAATGCATGGGAGCAAGTTGGGATGATGGGGAATGCATGGGAGCAAGTTGGGATGATGGGGAATGCATGGGAGCAAGCTGGGATGATGGGGAATGCATGGGAGCAAGCTGGGATGATGGGGGATGATGGGAGCAAGCTGGGATGATGGGGGATGCATGGGAGCAAGTTGGGATGATGGGGAATGCATGGGAGCAAGTTGGGATGATGGGGAATGCATGGGAGCAAGTTGGGATGATGGGGAATGCATGGGAGCAAGTTGGGATGATGGGGAATGCATGGGAGCAAGTTGGGATGATGGGGAAATGCATGGGAGCAAGTTGGGATGATGGGGGATGATGGGAGCAAGTTGGGATTTGGGATGATGGGGGAAATGCGGGGGATCACGGCGGGGCGCAGATGCGTTACTAGCGCCGCAGCGAGAAGCCCATCCGAGGCAAATTGCCTTGGCTCCCAAGGCTGACGCCATCACCGCCGCCATTCCAACTCCATGGAATTTTCACTCTCTCTTTGGTGCCTTTCCAAGGAGTGGCGCAGGAAGCACGGAATTGGGAGAAGCGAGGGGAAGCGAGGTGAAAAGTTACAAGTTGAGTGTGAGAAGCAGTGTGACTGTAGCAACGGATGACTATCGGGAGTTTAACGAGTCCTCGTGGCATCCTCTCTTACCCTGATGTCAAGCTGGCCTTGGAGGTGTAACCCTTGAGCCCCGAACTTCCGCAGCTGAAGCGACTGAACCCCAACAGCCTTCGACGAATGTTCTTCGCGAACGAGGGCGCGCCAGGGCTCTGCGACGACGGTGCGACGCGTGTGGCGACGCCCTGCGACGCGAACAGCAGGACGCAGCTGAGAGCGAGCAGGGATAGCGCGAAGAGGCGGGCCATGGATGTGACGCGAGCGATTCTAGCGACAGTCTGTCTTTTCGGGAACGGCGACGAAGAAACTGAGGAGTCGAGGTGGCGTTGAAGCGGAGCGACGTTTCTGGTTGCGAGGAAATGCGATCGAACGAATAGTGCTACGATGGCGAACGAGGTGATTGGCAGGCGTGGCTGGAGTAGGCGTGGCGGCGTGGCGCCAGGCGATCGCGAGGTGGACAAGGGCTTGTATCGGATAGGTTAGGAAGCAGATGTGATTTTAGTGTCTCCAGTATCGGTTATTTGTAGTGTGATAGAATGCACCACTCGTAGGGATGGGAGGAGGGAGGGAGGAATTGGGTGGAAAGGTGAAAGAGGGAGAGAGGAAGGGGGATGGAAGCAGGCCTAATGCTGATTGTTTCGGAAGTTGCTGGGTTAGGGTCCAATATTACCCCCCGTTTCCGGGATCCGAAGAAGGATCTCTCAGAACCCTCGAAATGTCCTCCTGGCAAAGAGAAGGTTGGAATGGACGTGTGTGGCTTTCACTCTCATGGTTGAGGCGCCCATGCCGGAGTGTCTCGAAACGCATGGCTACCACCTGGAAGACTGACCACCTTGGAATGTGACGGAGAAATATATATATCGCAGTGGTGTTCGGAAGTTCCCCCGACGGGACGCCATGCTGTGTGACTATCTCGTAAAGATTGATGAGATTATTTCACGGAATACATCAGAACATCAGGCTCGTACATTCGGCGACATTCAGATTTTCGGCAGAACCAAACCTGCTAAAATCTGGGTTCGTGGTTCAGAAATTCCTTCATTTCTCGGCATTCAGGGTAGCTACCCTTTCAGTGGAGGATCATCCCAGCTTGGTTGAGCGGCTTTGACGAGCTTTGTCAGGTCGTCGAGGTTGGTGCTGGGGTGGGTGATGGCGGCGAACTAGCTGGCGACATCTCGCGAACCTCGCAGTCATGGGAACCAGCTCATCTGATTAGTGTTCCACAAAATTCTCTCCAAATCAACAGGTGTACCTGTCGGCTGCGTGTGCCACGGTTCTCGTGGCACGTTCCCGTGCAAGTGGTAGGTTTGAAAATATAGATATAGTGTTCAGAAACTCGAAATGTGTTGTGAGCAGTTCGTGTGGTCAATTCCGTCACTTGTACTCGCTGAACTGCAGGAAGAAAGTGTGTGCTGAACTCCGTCAAAATTAGCCATTTGGATCGGAGGTCATACTTCAATGCAGGGAAAATTGACTCGGAGAATTAGTGACTCCCTTTGCTTGGACCGGCAGTTTGCCAAAAAATTTGCACGAAACACGGTCTAAGGCACATTCACCGTCCTAGGGTTCTTCCTCCCCTGGAGAAAGTAGTGATTGCGGCGCGGCCGCGAGTTCTGCACGTGGAAATGGCTGTCAGTGGATCGCCAGTGACCAGCCGGAAGGTTTCGCTGCGGTTCGCTGGTCGGTGGGGAAAATGGGTGGGTGTGTTGAGTCATGATGCGTTATTGACCTCAGGCTCATTGATTCGCAAGAAGGACAACCAACCAATGTCCCAGCGGATAATTATGGCCCGTAATGCTGTGTGAAGTGCACACGAAAGCCGCACACACACACATGTAAGAAAATATGAATGACATTATTCACGTTTGTACATCGGCCATAGTTACACTACGTACGGTTTGTGCAATTCATCCTCCATAACATAATCTCTGCGTACAAGCATACTAAACTAAGGTACATTCCGTCTCATGTTCAAGCATCCTCCTAGACACTCCTCAAACCACCTCTCCTCCCAGCCATTCTCTCCTTCCATTGCCACAAGGCGTCCCTCCATTGCCTCTGCTTCATTCTCTTAGCCACTCTCCCGCCCTCTTGGGTGCTAGTAGCAACACCAGCGTTCCCGCTGCTAATATCACCGTCCTCACTGCACTGGCTGCTGTGGCAACCATCCTCGCTCGAGCAACCCCCGTCCACATCCATTCTTGAATCGTCCATTGCCGAAACACCAGAGCCAGCAGCAGTTTCAAGGGGGTTCTCAGCCTCCTCCTCCATGGGGGCATCCTCATACTCAGTATCACTTCCAGCTTCAGTTTGGGTTCCAGTTTCTGCGACAGCCGCTGTCCTGATGTTTCCAACACTGGGTGGTCGGCTGGTTGAGAGAGTGTCGACCCTGTCTAGCAGCTTCGTCAGCTTCCGAGCCATGTCCCGCCGCAAGTTCCGAATGTCCTGGTTCCGCGACTGCACTTCATCCAGCCGAAGCAGCCAGCTCATGATCGTCTCGTTCACCCGAAGCTTCTCCAGAGGCTCGGAAACCATCTTCGCGATGAGTTCACTATCCCGAAGCTGCGCGCCCATCTCCCGAGCCAGTTTCCGAACGTCAGCTATGGATCGAGCCAGTTCGAGCGGCTTGCCTTGACGTACGGAGTAGCCCCTCCATGCCGCTTGCAGCTTCCGAGCGGCGTCGTCAGCCGTTAGTAACGATTTGGAAGCGATTTTAGTAACAGGAATGCCGGCGACGGCTGCCCTTGGCGAAGCTGCCTGCGTTTCGGGGCTCTTACTGCTTGCGGGGCGTTGGACGGGTATCTGACGGATAGCCAGCTCGTCTTGCTGCTGCTGGGTCGGACGAGCCTTCGTTTGAGTCTCTACATGCTGCGCCCTGCGCGCTTTGGCTGCCTGTTTCCGCGCGCTGAGCTCCTGCGCTACTTTAAGCTGCTGCTGCCGCGCTATCTCCTGCTGCCGCGCAAGCTGCTGCTGGCGGAGCTCCTCATGATGATCGCGTCGTTTCTGCGCCAGATGGTAACCCGCTGGGGAGTCGAAAGCGCCGTCGAACCCGAAAGGATCGCCGAAATGCGACGACGGCGAGGTGGCGAAGTTCCAAGGCGACGCCTGTGACTGATGATCATGATGCTGATGCGTGGTGTAAGGCGATGTGAAAAGGTGGTGCTGCTGTCGCTCGAAGAGCAGATCTGACATACCGAATGCCATACACTAATGAAAGCCTTTTTCTAATCGATGCCGGTGCTGGCTAAGATAGACCGTCGTTGAAGTCTGGTATTCTACAAGCGTTTGTCTAAGCCTTGAGATTGTCGTGAATCGAAGGAATTGTAGTACAGTATAGAAGATTGTAGGTGGTTGGATGCTTGCTTCTCACCTGGAGATGGTATTTATAGAAGAGGCAGAACTTGTAGTGGTGGCTCTAGAACCATCACCCAGCTTCGAGACATGGCGAGAGTAGTCTGGAATCTTGTCAGCCTGGGAGGTTCGCGAAGACGCGTGGTTCTTCGCGACAGAGGAGGAGTTGCTACTCATTCGCGAGGCGGTTCGCGAAACAGCCGGAGCTGTCAAGGCCTTTCGTGATGCGCTTCGCGAAACTAGCTGGATTGCTCAAAGCCTTCGCGAGTTGCCTCGCGAAACACCTGGGCTGCTCAACCAGGGGCCTTATTCGCAACGCGGGAGTGCCCCGCGAAGCAGCGAAGTTGCCTAAGGTTTCCGCGTGTGGGTCGTTTGCATCACAGCGTAATATGCGACAATCTGACGTATTGCGTTACAGCTGGCTGGATATGTAAGGAATTTTCCATTCCTTGGCTCGCCTCGCCACACCGCTACCGCGTACGTCAAACCCCACATGGCACCGGCATCTGCCCTAGCTTCGGCCCGAACACGGCATGGAACCATTTCCGCGTCACGCCGAAGCGCTCCGCGTCGTCGGATGGGGTCGACGAACCTGCTCGATCGCGCGGTTAGAATTGCTCTGGTGTTCCTATATCTTGCTTCGTCATTTCATTGTACCACATGAGATTATTCTTAACTTCGACATCCGTTCCTGCGCCTATTGTGAAACACTCATAACAGGGAACCCACAGCAATATTTGATTAATAATCATTTTCACTCGTCCCTTGTATGCAATGACAACCACCTTGTGTGAAACATACAGCTATATGGCAACGCACTCACTGCACTGCATGCATGTAATGCCCTTCCTACATACCGCATGAGCTGCATTTTTTTTTTTTAACGGTGATGATAGACGCTTCATAAATTTATCAGCCAATAAGCTCCGAGATTGGCGGACGCTCCATGACGTAAGCTGACTGCTTTGATGCCTTGGCCAACGTGGGATCTATGCCAGGTAGGTACGGAATCTGTACATGTGGGAGAGAGGGAGAGAGATAGATTGAGGGATGGATGGAGGGACGGAAGAGAAGTGAGATGGAGCACTGAAAAGGAGAAGCGGCAAAGAGGCGAAGAGAGGCGCCGGCGTGACAGGCAGGCAGATGAAGCATCATTGTAAGAAAAGATGGTGTGACATTCTTATGAACAGCACGAGAACAGATCATCGGGATTGTCTAAAAGGCGCCTAAAAAAAACCATGCAAGCACAAGGGACGACAAGATGACGTGAGTATGTTCATGAATCACGCACCTGGGAGAGCAGATCAATGGTGCGCCTCAGCAGCCGTGCGATGTCACCCTCATCCAGCCCCGCACAGTCAGTGATGAGCTGGCGCCACGTCACACCCTGGGCCCACGCCTCCACCACGCCTGCAAACTGCGCGTCCAGGTCAGCAGGGATTGCCACGTTGGCAGCGAGTTGGAGACGCATAAGCCAATCACGACGTGTTAGCTGGAGAGCTCAAAGCCTTCGCTAGTACCCTCACGAAACACCTGGGCTGCTCGACCAGGGGCCTTCGTCCCACATCACTCTCCGTATTCAACTGCGCATGCTGCAGGCCTCATTCACAACGCGGGTGTGCCCCGCGAAACAGCCGAAGTTGCCGAAGGTTTCCGAGTGTGGGTCGTTTGCTTCGCAGCCTAATACGCGACACTCTGACCTACTGCGTTACAGCTGGCTGGAAACCCACAGCAATATTTGTAGAATAATCATTTTCACTCGTCCTTTGTATACTATGACAACCACCTTGTGTGAAACATACAAGTATATGACAACGCAATCACTGCACTGCATGCATGTAATGCCCTGCCTACATACTGCATGAGCTGCATTTTAAATGTGGTGATAGACGCTTCATAAATTTCTCGGCCAATAAGCTCCGAGACTGGCGGACGCTACATGACTTAAACTGATTGCTTTGATGCCTTGGCCAACGTGGGATCTATGTCAGGTAGGTACGGGATCTGGACATGTGGGAGAGAGGGAGAGAGATAGATTGAGGGATGGATGAAGGGACGGAAGCAGGGTTGTTTTTTTCGTACTATTTAATCTGATTGTCTGAAAATTCTGACTAGCCATTTTCTGAATGCTGAACCCTTCAGAGTTATATGTTTTTGAATCCTGAGAATCTCAGACTTCGAAGTTTGCGGATACTAAGTTTTCAGAGCGCAGCGCGTACGGACCCTGAGACAAACGTACCGGTAATGCACCTACCTGTCCTTACCCAAAAAATTCGTCCAAGTCCCCAACGGCCCGAGTCAAGTCCTTTCCCCCGCCCCGCGACCTAAAAAATCCGGCTAAGTCCTAGAAGCCAGAGACAGTTCCCCCCAGCACATTTCTTGCCTACACGCCTCGCAGCCCCAGAAGTCCCCATAGACAGACACATCCCTCCTACACCTCTTGTTGTTAGAGTACGTGAATGATTACTAGAAGGAGAAACCTAGAACATATACATGTTGGGTTGTACTCATTAGAAGCACACACCTAGTCTAGCCTATAACTTCTACATAAAACATATGTATAAGTTGATACACCCCCTAGGCTAGATAAGGGGTGGTGCTAACAAGAAGCACACAGCTCAGGGTGGCACTACTAGTCCAACCTCTGAGGCAGGGGTCCGGAGACCAGTCAGCAAGAGTACAAACAAGACTAAAGCAAGCCAGGGGCGGCACTACTAGTCCAGCCACTGGAGGTAAGGCCACAAGGGCAATCAGACAGGTATATATAGGAGAGAGTACACAATCATGGCCCTAGCAAATGAGAAGCTACAGGAACAAGACCAAGCTGTACACAGTGCCGCTGATGATCTTTAGGCGCAAGTGCCTTAGTAAAGATATCAGCTGTGTTGGCACCGGAGGCCAAGTGAACTACACGGGCCTGGCGAGGAAGTACCGCAGCTGGATATGCTTCGCTCTGCCCTCAAGCCGAGGCTCCTGACACAGGAGGATCATGGCCCTGTTGTCAGCGTACAGGACCGGGGCAGAGCTAAGCCGCTCACTTAAGTAAGTGAGCAAGAAGGTCGGCCAGCGGAGCTCCTATGCCGCCATGGCACTAGCGTAGATCTCAGCCTCACAGCTGGACTGAGCAACAGACGACGAGCGAGTGGATCTCCAAGAGATAGCACCTGAACCAAAGCTAAAACAGTAGCCCTGAGACGACCTGAGAGTCTTAGAGTCGTCTGCCCAAGAAGCGTCTGTGTGCCCAGTGAGAACCACCGGCCTGCGTCCTCCTAGCACTAACCCCATGCCCGATGTACTTGCTAGATATCGCAAAACCCTCTTAGCAGCCGACCAGTGCTGTGGCCGGTGTCTGCCAGTGGCCACAAAGCCAGCCAGGATGCTGAGAGGGTATGCAAGATCTGGGCGAGTGCAAGTCATCAGGTACATGAGGCAACCCACCAGCTCAGCGTAGGGTCCACTGGGCTCTACTGGCTCCGCAGGAACTGGAGAAGAGAGCCCATGGTCTACAGGTAGAGGTGTGGGCTGTGCGGAGGAGAACTGAAGACCGAACCTCTGAAGGACCTGACGCACGAAGTGTGACTGTGTCAGAGTGATGGTGCGTGCTGCTCTGCCCCTGGAGATCTGCAGGCCAAGATAGCGACGCAGCTCTCCAAGGTCAGTGCAGGTGTGTCTCTTCAGCAACTCGGCCTTCACAGAGGCCAGTGCGTCCCTGTCAGCAGTAGCAAAGACCAGGTCATCTACGTAGACAAGGATGTAGAACGGAGTCTGGCCGGAACACACAAACAGCGAGGGGTCAGCAGAGACGGCAGTAGAGAAGTCGAGAGAGTGAAGCTCGTAGTCACACTCTGCTGCTACGTGTAGCAGCGCCCGAAGAGTGGTCATCTTCGGGGTCGGGGCGAAAGTCTGGAAGAAATCAACCCCCTCGCGTTGGCTGAAGCCTCAGGCCATGTAGCGCGCCTTGAAGACAGGCGCCTCTCCAGGAGGGCGCTTCACCTTGAAGAGCCACCGACCATCGACTACGTTCAACCCAGGCGGGGGAGCTGCGTCGACGTAAGTGCCGGTGGACCTCCAAGATGCCATCTCCTGCTCCATGGCAGCTATCCAGTGAGAGGCCCAGGGTCCCGAGGTGGCCTCAGCGTAGGTGCGAGGGGTCGGGATGTCGAAGGCGTCTGGGTCACCCTCTGGGACTAGGAGCATGGAGCAGAGGTGGGGAGCTGCCTCGGAAAGGAAAGCAAGCTCGTACTGCCTGTCCTCTAGTACGCCACTGCCAAGGGCAGGTGCACCCCCGACGGGCGCAGGATGGGCAGGGTCAGAGACCAGAGCGGTAGCGTAGTCAAGCGGCGGGTAGAGGCGAAGTCAGCGACTGCAGCAACAAGCGCGTCAAGGCAAGAGACAGGAACAGACGGGTCTGTAACAAGAGAGGCAAGGACTCGAGGGACAAGGGGACTAGCGGCACGTAGGTAGTCAGACAGCGGGGGAGGTGCAACAACGAGCGACGAGGGAGGAGGCGAGGGGAGGAGGGGAGGACGAGACGAGTGAGAACGGAGTAACATAGGATGGGAGCGCGGGACAGGGGAGACGGAACGAGCACGGGAGGGACGGCGAGACCAAACGTGGGACAGAGGTGTAGGGTCAGGAGAGAGCGGAGGTGACACAAGGGGGGAGCGAAGAAGAAGACGGGCCGGAGAAGAGTCCGGGGGCGGGAACACATGGCCGTAGGCAGGAAAGTGAGGAAGAGGTGGGGGAGACACCGGCGAGCGGTCAGGGGAGGGAAGGCCGAGCAGGCGAAGAGCGAAGACTGGCGGCGACGACTACGGCGGCTGCTGCGGCGGTTAGTGCTCGACCCTCGAACCGGCAGGGGCACGACAACCTCCGGGAGAACACTCAACAGCAGCACCTCCAGAAGCAACACCCCTAGAGCGAGAACCCTCTCCAGCCCAAGCGGCACCCCCAGGCCCGCCGGGACAGACCACACCAGGAGCCGCAGGACGAACACCCTCCTCAGCGCCAGCACCCCCAGAGGCCAAGCGCGGCGGCGGCGACGGCTGCGACGGCGGCTGCGACGGCGGCGGCTGAGGCGGCGGGGACGACGGCGGCGCCTGTGATAGCGGGGGCGGAGACACGAGGGAAGGGGGACGCGGCAAAGGCGGGGCGGGGGGACCACCAGAGTTAGCAGACTCCTCAAGCGGGACAACTGACGGGAGGGGAGTGACATGGGAGACACCAGACGGGGCAGGACGCAGCGAGAGGGGAGGAGGGGCTACCGGGGGAGAGGGGGCAAGGAACAGGGGGGGGGGAACCGGGAGACCTCGGTGAGGGAAGCGATGGTAGAAGGAGACGGACTCATCAAAGGTGACGTCACGAGAGTGGAGGAAGCGGTGAGACTGCGGGTGATAGAAGAGCCAGTCAGACGAGTCCAGGGGGAAACCAAGGAAGACACAAGGGACAGTGCGGGTAGTGAGCTTGTCCGTGCCAGAGGCACGAACGTGAGCAAGGCAGCCCCAGACGTGGAACGCAAACGCGTCACCGGGGGACCCGGTCCAAATGAGAGTCGGCGAAACCTGTGGCCGCTGGGAGCGTGGCCACAGGTTAAGCCGTGAGCGGCGTAGCGAACGGCGAACGGCCACAGAAAATGGGGTGCACCGGCATGGACCATGGAGGTACGAGCCACCTCCATGACCACGCCGATGTGGCGCTCAGCAACCCCATTCTGCTGTGGCAAGTCCGGCAAGGTGTACGACTACGTGATGCTCTCCGCACGACAGAACTGTCCAAGCCGACTAGAAGCGAACTCTCCGCCACGGTCAGAGTGGAGAAACAACACGGGGAGACCGCGGTGAAGACGCGCAGCCACAACCCACGGGAGAAGAACGTCGGGCACATCTGCCTTCCGCTCCAGGGGAAACACCGTGGTGTAGCGCGTGTAGTCGTCGACGAGCACAAGAAAGTAGCGCTCGCCACGCGGTTCGGGGACGGGGGCTGGGCCCCAAACGTCCAGGTGCAGGGTCTGAAGGGGAGCTGTAGCTGGGCGAAGCGAGGAGGAGTGAGGGGCACAGCGGAGCCGGCCCTCGACGCAGGTCGTGCACGGTGGAGCAGGCGAGAGGGGAAGGGCGGGGAGTGACGCGGGGAGGCCTAAGACAAGACCGTGTTGGGACATGTGACGCAGACGCGGGAGTGCAGGGTGACCTAGGCGGTGGTGCCACAAAAGGGACTGGTGAGTGAGAGACCGACACGAGCAAGCTGCAGCGATCTGGGAGGACGCACCAACCGGGGGGGAAGCGGTGTCTAGGGTGAACAGTCCGGACACCGGGTCCCGGGGGAACGTAGCAAGTGGGGAACCTGAGACAGCCTCAGACAGACAGCGAACCGCTCATGCTTGGGGAACGTAGTGGTGACGCCAAGGTCCTGAAGACAGCCGACACCAACCAGGTTCCTCGAGAACGAGGGAATATGGAGGCCTGTAAGAGAGCCCGAGGGAA